TGGGGTGGAAATGGCTTTTAACCATTCCTTTGGATCCCTCATGTCATATTCATTGTTAGAAAAAAGTTTGGTCCAAATCGGATATTAGCCACTATATTTATTGAATATTATATTAATCCAATAAAATAAAATGGCCAATTTGGATGCAATCAATTAGCATAATGTTGCAGGAATGCTAATCGTATCTATTTCTAACAACCAAAACTATTTCAGAACAATCTGAGAAGGTGTGTGTTTCGAAATCCTCTTTCTCTTGCTTTTTGAGGTGGAAAGACCCTATTGTGATCGGCACCAATAGCTTATGTAAAGTCTATATCAATAGGCTACCAGTTGCATTTTTCGATATGAAAAGGAGACTGAAATGTGACTGATTTGCTCTACACAGGTAGGAAAGTGTCCAGACGACTGTGAGCTTATTGACCAGTAGGCTAGGTCTGTAGGCTAGGTCTGAATGTTCTGAAAGCTTAATCAACCATTAATATAATAAGAAACCCATCGACCCCTTATGGGCCATCAGCAGGACAAGTCTTGCTGAGACTATGAGATGGTAAATAATAATAATACTATTAACGGCAGCACTGCTTTATCAAATGTTTAAATTGCTATTTTATGCTGCGACGTGAAAATAGTTTTCATGTCGGCCTTTTACCAGATATATGCTGTTTATTTTCAGAAATTCGGTAGCCTATGCTACAAAATATAATATTCTGCCCATATTAATATAATTATTTTAGGCCATGGCCTAAAGAACTGTTACATGATTGAATGAAAAGCAGCAAACAGACACAACATTCTTTCACATTCTTTAATAAGACTCAAACAGAAACAGGCAAAAGTCTACAGCTCGATTCCGTTTCCCTGCCAAATAGGCCTACAAGAAAACTATGTATTTTGACGATGTTGAGTGCGTGGTGGGGGTCTTTACGCAGTGTAGTACCTTCCACAAAAAGTTTTTCTCTACAAAAAGAAATGTAAGCATCTTCAAGGGACTTTGCTCACTCTTGAGTATGAAGTTGGCCTAGCTTTGTGGTTTGATTTTATTATATTATTTAAGGTAACATCTTTAGTCCAGTTCTTTGAGCACAAAATACCAGTTTCCTGGTTCAGCAGGTGTGTTGAGGTGTTTTTGCCTCTGGAATGGTGACTCTGTGGGCTGGAGTCCATGTTCAATGTTATAAAATGCATATTTTTGACAGGTTGCACACTTTATCCTGGAGACTTCTTTCTTTCTTTACAATGCACAGTCCCAAGTGAACGGTAGCTACTAATATGTTAAATTACTATCCTTCAGTACCTTTTTCTTAATCAGGGTAATGTACAGCAAGATGGTGCCGACACACAGTCACCCTGTTTCTAGCTCCTAGACAACTTTGCAGTATTTTGCTACGTTTTTTGCTGCAGCTGCAATAACATCTACAAATCTGTTTATGTGACCAATAAACTTTTGATTTGATACCGTAGCATATGTAGAGCATATGAGCGTAACAATCTGTTTGATGTGAAACATTAACACACACGAGCACGCCAACCCGTAGCTCATATCCCTACGCCGTGATGTAGATTTGCTCTGAATCACAAAGCATGAATCATGCTCCAATGTCTTGGTGAGAGTGAAGAGGGAAAAAACACAATTGGATGGAAGAGGACTAGGGAGTACAGCATGGAACAAACACATAGTGCACTACTTTGAGCAGAGCGCCATGTAGGAAATAGGCTGCAACCTGTGGTCCTTCACTGTTAAGGCTGCTTGTGTGACTATGTTCCCTGTGTTTTCTAGGAAAGCTATTTATTAGCGTTTTAATCACGGCTGGCAGGTAATCCTTCTCAGCACTAGTTTGTGTGCTGCTGCCCTCTGCTTTTACACTGTGTGTACAACATATCGGGCCTCTTGTCTGTCTATAGAGCTGAACTGTGCTGTGCTGGCTTGGCAATTTTTTTCTTCACATTGTCCTTTCCAGCAAGCTTTCAGGAACTGAAGTGGATGCATAATCAGGCCAGCCCAGTACAGCTCGGCTTGGTTTGGCCCTCTATTGAATCAGGCATGTTTATGGTCTGTCTGCTGCCATACTCCCTGTGGCTGGATGAGGCCAATGCACGGACGAGAGAAAAACGTAGGGTATAAATGTAACCTTTTGAAATGTCATTTCACCCCTACATTTTGGGGGTCGGTTGCATGTGTTTGTCTACAATGAAATGTTTTCATATTCAACAAGAGGCTGTTTTTCTCTCTTGCAAGACATTGTGTTGTAACTTGAGGAACTCAACATTTCTGAGTTCTACACGACAGATAATATTTTAGTTTGCGTTTAAAATTGCACCCTATTCCCTTTGAGGCAGCCTATAGGGAGGTCAGAGACCTGCCAGTGTGGTGCCAGGACAACAACCTCTCCCTCAATGTCAGCAAGACAAATGAGCTGATCGTGGACTACAGTAAACTGAGTTACTCCCAATTCACATCGATGGGGCTGTAGTGGAGCGGGTCGAGAGCTTCAAGTTCCTCGGTGTCCACATCACTAAGGAATTAACATGGTCCACACACACCCCCACATTTGTGAAGAAGGCACAACAACCTCAGGAGGCTGAAAAGATTTGGCATGGCCCCTCAGATCCTCAAAGAATTCTACAGCTGCACCATTGAGAGCATATTGACTGGCTGCATCACTGCTTTGTACGACAACTGCAAGGCACCCGACCGCAAGGTGCTACAGAGGTTTGTGAGTACGGCCTAGTACATCACTGGGGCCGAGCTCCCTGCCATCCAGGACCTCTATACCAGGCAGTGTCAGAGAAAAAGACTCCAGCCACCCAAGCCATAGACTGTTCTCTCTGCTACCGCTCGGCAAGCGGTACCAGTGCACCAAGTCTGGAACCAACAGGACCCTGAACAGCTTCTACCCCAAGCCATAAGGCTGCTAAATAGCTAATCAAATGGCTACCCAGACTACCTGCATTTACCCTTTTTTAACGAACTTTCCTGCACTGACTCTATCCACACACTCACACATACTGACACACACTACATACACGCGCACATATGCATACTGACCACACACACACACACACACACACTTCCACACTCACCACATACGCTGCTGCTACAGCTCAGACTATTACAGTGCATTTGGAAAGTATTCAGACCCCTTAACTTTTTCCACATTTTGTTACATTACAGCCTTATTCTAAAATGGATAAAATTGTTTTTTTCCTCAATCTACACACAATACCCCATAATGACAAAGCAAAGTCTTGGGTATGACGCTTCCAGCTTGGCACACCTGTATTTGGGGAGTTTCTCCCATTCTTCTCTGCAGATCCTCTCAAGCTCTGTCAGGTTGGATGGGGAGCTTTGCTGCACAGCTATTTTCAGGTCTCTCCATAGATGTTTGATCGGGTTCAATTCCGGGCTCTGGCTGGGCCACTCAATGACGTTCAGTGACTTGTCCTGAAGCCACTCCTGCATTGTCTTGGCTGTGTGCTTAGGGTCATTGTCCTGTTGGAAGGTGAACCTTCGCCCCAGTCTGAGGTCCTGAGTGCTCTGGAGCAGGTTTTCATCAAGGATCTCTCTGTACTTTGCTCCGTTCATCTTTCCCTCGATCCTGACTAGTCTCCCAGTCCCTACTGCTGAAAAACCTCCCCACAGCATGATGCTGCCACCACCATGCTTCACCATAGGGATGGTATTGGCCAGGTGATGAGCGGTGCCTGGTTTCCTCCAGACGTGACGCTTGGTCAAAGAGTTCAGTCTTAGTTTCATCAGACCAGAGAATCTTGTTTCTCATGGTCTGAGAGTCCTTCAGGTGCATTTTGGCAATCTTCAAGCGGGCTGTCATTTGCCTTTTACTGAGGAGTGGCTTCCGTCTGGCCACTCTACCATAAAGGCCTGATTTGGTGGAGTGCTGCAGAGATGGTTGTCCTTCTGGAAGGTTCTCCCATCTCCACAGAGGATCTCTGGAGCTCTGTCAGAGTGACCATCGGGTTCTTGGTCAACACCCAGTTTGGCCGGGCGGACAGCTCTAGGAAGATTCTTGGTGGTTCTAAACTTCTTCCATTTAAGAATGATGGTGGCAACTGTGTTCTTGGGGACCTTCAATGCTGCAGAAATGTTTTGGTACCCTCCCCCAGATCTGTGCCTCAACAAAATCCTGTCTCGGAGATCTACGGACAATTCCTTTGACCTCATGGCTTGGTTTTTGCTCTGACCTGCACTGTCAACTGTAGGACCTTATATAGACAGATGTGTGCCAGATGTCCAATCAATTGAATTTACCACAGGTGGACTCCAATCAAGTTGTAGAAACATCTCAAGGGTGATCAATGGAAACAGGATGCACCTGAGCTCAATTTTGAGTCTCATAGCAAAGGGTCTGAATACTTATGTAAATAAGGGATTTCAGTTTTCATATTTAATACATTTGCAAAAATGTCTAAAAACCTGTTTGCTTTGTCATTATGGGATATTGTGTGTAGATTGAGGATTTTTATTTGTTTAATCCATTTTAGAATAAGGCTGTAATAAAATGTGGAAAAAGGGAAGGGGTCTGAATACTTTCCGAATGCACTGGATCTGTCCTGTTGCCTAGTCACTTTACCCCTACCTAGCTGTACATAGCTACCTCAATTACCTCGTATTGCTGCACATCGACTCTGTATTGGTACTTCCTGTATATAGCCATGTTATTTTTACTTGTTATTCATTATTCACTGCAGTTACTCCTCGTGTCACTATTTTTATTTTATCTTTAAAGCTGCATTGTTGGAAAAAGACCCGTAAATAAGAAATTCACTGTTAGTCTACACCAGTTGTTTATGAATCACGTGACAAATACATTTTGATTTGATTAGATTTATTTAGTGCACAACTTTTGACCAGGAACCTAAAGAGCAGTGCGCTATAAAGGAAATTGGGTGCCATGTGGGACTCTTACCATAGTTGACATTGCTTACAATGAGATATCCAGTAACTGACAGAGTGATTGGTTTTTGTTTTCACAGAATTGAACATGGAGTACAACCCCTCTGACCATCCTCGGGCCAGCACAATATTCCTCAGTAAATCTCAGACGGATGGTGAGTTGGTCTCAATAAATCAATGAATCTCAGAATCTTTGGAATCCCTCAACGGGAGCATTTAACATGGACTTTTACCTAAAGCCTTTAGGGAAGACCAAAGGTTTTCCTGATCATGTGTCCTGATCAAGAAAACCCCCAGGTTTATCAGTGAAAGCTCCTGGGCCCATATTCATAAAGCATCTCAGAGTAGGAGTGCTCTAGAATCCGTTTTTGCATTTTAGATCATAATGAATAAGATCACATGGACAGGGGGGACCTGATCCTAGATCAGCACTACTACTCTGAGACGCTTGATACATACGGCAGTACAGTATAACCTCTATAACACAATACAAAGTATGATATTACAATCCCAGATCACATAGCATCATTGAACACAGTCAGCTTTGAGCTCGGTGGTAATTTATGCCTTGCCCTGGGGTGTTTCACTAGCAGTACCAGCAGCCTCCGGGGATTCTCATCCTATCACACTGTTACTGTGTTTTTCTCTGATAAATATTAACATTTTTCTAGGAAGGATAACATTACAACACATGCTTATGACTGATTCGAAGAACTTTGAGTCATGCTTAGTTATGTTGTACTGTAACAAGACAGTACTAGCAGCAGAGCAGGTTAAGTGACACCGTTGTCCAGAATCGAAGCTGCATCTGAGAAAAGGTGACATTTGATACTTACCCATGTATTAAAGTGAGAGCCAATGATAGTTGTGCGTTTTTTTGAGTTGGACAGGTAAATTAAGTAATGGATTTTGGTTCTCTTTCAGTGGAGTTGCCTAGCAACAATGGTGAGTATAAGTTTAGGCTACTGTATGTCACGAAGTGGTTCTGCTTCCCCCTAGCTGCAGAGTGGAATCTGTCTCTAATGTTCTCTATGCCTAGACAGCATTAGGGGTGAATCCTAGCTTCCACTTAAGTGAATGTTTTACTTTAATAGTTATGCATTGATGTCAAGTTACATTTTAACCTATGTGGAAGCTAGGACTTGCCTTTATGACTAACCAGCTCTGATAATGTGATATTAACCGCGTTGTCCTCTTTGTGCACACTTTGAAATGCTTCTCTCTCTACAGTTTGTCACAAATATTCCATGTAGGGTCCATAGAAGCCTTGCTGTTTCAGCTCAGAATGTCTTGCTGATCATGCTGGCAAATCTACCATTATGCTTTTTTCTATTGCTTGTGCAATTTCTAGGGCAATGCCGATAACCAAGGATCAAAGCCAAACTCTTTGTCTTTTTGTCTCTGTGTTTAGTGCGTGAAAAAAGAAAGAGCCTCTTCATCAATCATGTGAGTATTAAATGCTTATTAAATATAGGCAAATGTATTATTTCATGATATTGGACAATTAGTCTTTGTAACTGATTCATAATGTATGAATTGCCCATGATAATTCCTTGTTGTTTTACAAGTTAACACACATTGACGAGTCAAAGGTAATGTACAACATTATTTATGTGTCCTCCATGGATCCATTCAATTGCAACTCATGTGACATCATGTTAAATTCATGTTGTTAGTGCCGGCTTGCATCATTCATGGTAACATGTTAGGAGTGAAGAACTCTCTGCATTATTGTAAATGATTAACAATCTTTAGATAGCCGATACACAATTACGTTTCATGTCTTCATTTGTTATGCATGTCCATCGCATGCTACGTTTGAGGAAGTAGCCTACTGTAGAAACCTTATTTCATGTATCAATATGCCCTCTACTAACAACATGCCCTCTAATAACAGTCAGCTTTTATAATTGTAGCCATAGATGTGTATTTGTAATTCTACTTCATTATCGTAGCATGGATCAAGGAGACGAAAACACAGCTCCTGTTCCACAATCTTCCTCGATGACAACACTGTCAGTCAGCCCAACCTTAAATTCACCATCAAATGGTGAGTGTATGTCCCAGTTACATTTGCATGAGTTGACCTATGGGACAGACAGAATGTCCTTGTTATGACAAATGCCTCAACAACGGCCTGTTTTTTCTTCTCTACAGTGTATCCCTTGCAATATATTACCATATAAAGAACAGGTAAGAATACCCTATCACTTTGAGCAAGCAATGCCTTGAATGGAGAGTTTGGCTAGCTAGTGTAACAGTTCAGTAAAACATTTAACCTTTCCTGAATTGCCTGTTTCAGGGACACAGATGGAGGAATGCGGCAAGACATTTTTGACGAGAAGCTTCACCCTCTCACGGTAATAGCCGAAGCAATCCGTGCATGTGTTCATATTGACCCACTGTGTTTTATGCGTGCATGAATTTAGTTTTTATACAGTGACCCTGTTCATAAAGCCTTCATGTTCTCCTACTCCCACAGAAATCAGAAGTGCCGTCTGACTATGACAAACACGACCCAGAGCAGAAACAGATCTACCGCTTCGTCCGGATGCTGTTCAGCACTGCTCAGCTCACTGCAGAATGTGCCATCGTTACACTGGTAAAGGAGGGGGATGGTTGACTCCATTGTTTGCATCCCAAATGGCACCCTATAACCTATATAGTGCACTACTTTTTACCAGGTAGCTTGCCAATGGGATACTCAATGTTTCATCAGAGGTGTCATACAGTAAGTTCATTCTCAACTCATCAGCAGTGGTGGAAAATAACCCAATTGTCATACTTGAGTAAAAGTATAGATACCTTAATAGAAAGTTACTCAAGCAAAAGTCAGCCAGTAAAATACTACTTGAGTAAAAGTATTTGGTTTTAAATATACTTAAGTATCAAAAGTAAATGTAATTACTAAAAAATACTTTATCAAAAGTAAAAGTATAAATCATTTAAAATTCCTATTATTTAGCAAAGCAGACTGCACAATTTTCTTGTTTTTGTTTTATTTTTGGTTAGCCAGGGGTACACTCCAGCACTCAGACATTATTTACAAAAGATGCATTTGTGTTTAGTGAGTGCCAGATCAGAGCCAGTAGGGATGACCACATGTTCTCTTGATAAGTGCATGAATTTGACTATTTTCCTGTCCTGCTAAGCATTCAAAATGTAACGAGTACTTTTGGTTGTCAGGGAAAATGTATGGAGTAAAAAGTACAATATTTTCTTTAGGAATGTAGTGAAGTAGAAGTTATCAAAAATGTAAAGTACAGGTACCCCAAAAAACTACTTAGGTAGTACTTTCACACCTTCTCAGACTGGGCAGACAGAACTCCTCTCCACCAAGTTATTTTATCCCCTTTAGCGACATGTTTGATCATCTGGTGTCCTGTTGGTTACTGTCTCAGTATGTATATCCCTGGTCAGACACAGGCTTGGAGTGTTCCTGTCTCAGGCTGATCACCAGAGGCTGCCTAACTAGCCTGTGAGTGCATCCCAAATTGCACCCTATTCCCTATTTAGTGCACTACTGTTGACCATGGCCCATAGCTCTATATAGGGAATAGGTTGCAATTTGGGACACAGGCCCCAGTCTGTCAGAAGAAGCCTCCTAACTAGCCTGTGTCTGTGGACGGCTGGCAGGCAGATTCAGAGGCTGTCAAGGGCAGCAGTGGAGGAAAACTAGGTCAACCGCCAAAGCCAGTAAGCCACTGAGTCATCAACGTACAGTACAAGGCCTGGGGCTACTACTCTACTGCCTGTGGAATACACAGACGGTCTGCAGCCAGAGCAGAGAAGGGCTAATGTCAGCATCACAGAAACGCATTTTCCACACACCACGTGACATTTCCATGCACCAATGTTGTGGCCTTGTCTTCAATTTACACACATCCTTGGCTTGTCTCCTGAGATCATCCTGAGAGCGCACTGGGGGCTGATGGGAGCTGTGAGAGAGGGATTAGGGTGTGTGGTGTGCCTTGGGTGAGTAGTTGTGGGGTTGAGGGGGAGTTCACAGGAGGTCACTGTATGATTCAAGCTTGAGATACGGGTCAGATTTTGAACACAGCTCTGTGTGTGCCAAGCATTATCAGGAGATTAACATACTATTTAGGGAATAGGGTGCCATTTGGGATGCAACCAATATCACAAAGGTAGTTGCCTCAATTGCCTCGTGACTTTAGTATTAATTTTCCCATTGTGTTTTTCAGGTGTACGTTGAGAGGCTGCTGACGTATGCAGAGATAGACATTGGCCCAGGGAACTGGAAGCGTATCGTGCTGGGAGCCATCCTGTTGGCATCTAAGGTCTGGGACGACCAGGCTGTGTGGAACGTAGACTACTGCCAGATCCTCAAAGACATCACCGTGGAGGACATGTGAGTTGATCGATCAATCGATCAATCGATCAATCGATCAATCGATCAATCAATCAATCAATCAATCAATCAATCAATATATGGAACAAAGACTACTGTCAGATCCTCAGACATCACTGTGTATAACAAGTCTGCTACACTTATATAGTCATTACAATTGTGTGAGAAATACAAACAGGTGAGACACTGAAGTATGTCACGTCTAGAGTGTATGTCCACGACTGGAATGGGAACATGATACATTTTATTTTCAGGATGTTATTTTCAACAGGGACTCTTCTGCCGGCTAATTGTAGCTGACCTGTTTTGCTGCTTGCATTTGAAAATACACACTTTTTCTGTATAAATGCTTAGACTTAAAGCATTACTGACTTATGGTTGACACTGGACCACATTTTGAAATCAAAAGCATGTACATTCATGTTTTTACACAGACGCTTTGGAACGTGCCCCTAATATGTTGGTTTTGATCTCTAGGACAGTGAGCTGTCTACGTAACAGTGCCACCAATTGTTGTGAAAAAAAAATATATCTCACTTTTTTCTGAACAGGAACGAGTTAGAGCGTCAGTTTCTGGAGCTTCTTCAGTTCAACATCAATGTTCCGTCAAGTGTTTATGCCAAGTATTACTTTGACCTGCGCTCACTGTCAGAGACCAACAACCTGAGCTTCCCTCTTGAGCCCCTGAGCCGGGACAAAGCCCAAAGACTAGAGGTGAGCCACCACTCAATCTAGCTGTTTATCAATGATCACATTTATTTATAAAGCCCTTTTTACACCAGCAGCTGTCACAAAGTGATTTTACAGTAGAGCACTTTCTGACAACTGCTGATCTGAAAATACATTTGATAGATTCATTGATGGCAGCTGGTCCTCTGAATAGGCTTGGTTTAACACTTGGACCTGAAGATGTAGTCCATGCCTGAAGGGCAATAAAAATTCAGTTCAAGCGATACATCTGAGTTTGTTTATCGATTCACCATGTTCTGTTGTTCCTGCAGGCAATCTCGAGGTTGTGTGACGACAAGTACAAGGATGCCAGGAGAGCTGCCAAGAAGCGCACCATGAGCGTGGACAACCTGGTCGGGGTGCGATGGGTCCCTGCCATCCTCTCCTAACAACCAGGAACATAGACTAGACCTGAGACTGGGCCTCAGGCCAGCATGGGGACATCCAGTCTTTTTACCTAGAGTTGCAAAATTCTGGTAACTTTCCCCAAATTCCCAGGTTTTCTAGAAATCCTGCTTGGAAGATTCCTGGAATCAGCAGGAAATCTGGAATCCTCCAATCTCGATTTCTGGAAAACCTGGGAATTTGGGAAAAGTTACCGGAATTCTGCAATCCTAACATAGACAGACAGGCAGACATTGTCCCCATCACAGATAGATGCCTTCACAGTGCCGCTGCTCCTGTAACACAGAGGGAAGAGCTCTACAGGACTGGTATTTCACTGACTGTTAAGAAAAAGAAAAATGAGAGCTTCTTTGTGATATAACAGAAGTAGCCAGATGATCACTGTGGCAACATGAGCTTTATGCGTTGTAGCAGCAAACCAAGAGAGAAGTTGTCAGAAAACAAAATGTCAATGTAATTTGACCTCTTATCCTGGATCATACCAAACGAAAACAGACTGAAACGGGGAGGGACGACCTGAACTTGTCCAATAAGTGTGTTTTCGTTGCCGTTGCAAAACGTTTTGCCACAGTGTCCACTAAGGAATATGACCCTGGGTCTAGACTATCCAACCTGGCATGACGGGACAGATGGTTGCCTTTGAAGATGGTTCTGTGGCTTTTGGTGAACAGGTTTTTATGTATTTTTTATTCATAGTTGTTTTTACTACCTACTGCTACAGCCGACCAAACCCAAGTACAGTATTTGATCAGGTAAAACAGCCTTCTAGCTGTGCAGGTGTTTCTACTGGAGATCTACATTCACATTCCAGAATCATTTAGTTCTTAATGAACAAATTATTTCACAAGTTGACCATATTAATACCTTTCCACTAGTGTACAGTTACTGTACCTCCCAATACCCAGAATGTTGTATTCAAATATGCAGCTAAATTCATAATTGAAAGCTCTTGGAGATATATGTGAGTGATTTAGCTACTGTGAATGTGTCATCCACAGGATTCAAAGTACAGTTGAAGTTGGAAGTTTATTCATTAAAACTCATTTTTCAACCACTCCACAAATTTCTTGTTAACAAACTATAGTTTTGGCAAGTCGGTTAGGACATCTACTTTGTGCATGACACAAGTAATTTTTCCAACAATTGTTTACAGACAGATTATTTCACTTATAATTCACTGTAGCACAATTCCAGTGGGTCAGAAGTTTACATACACTAAGTTGACTGTGCCTTTAAACAGCTTGGAAAATTCCAGAAAATGATGTCATGGCTTCAGAAGCTTCTGATAGGCTAATTGACATCATTTGAGTCAATTGGAGGTGTACCTGTGGATGTATTTCAAGGCCTACCTTCAAACTCAGTGCCTATTTGCTTGACATCATGGGAAAATCAAAAGAAATCAGCCAAGACCTCAGAAAGAAAATTGTAGACCTCCACAAGTCTGGTTCATCCTTGGGAGCAATTTCCAAACACCTGAAGGTACCACGTTCATCTGTACAGACAATAGTACGCAAGTATAAACACCATGGGACCACGCAGCCGTCATACCGCTCAGGAAGGAGACGCGTTCTGTCTCCTAGAGATGAACGTACTTTGGTGCGAAAAGTGCAAATCAATCCCAGAACAACAGCAAAGGACCTTGTGAAGATGCTGGAGGAAACCGGTACAAAAGTATCTATATCCACAGTAAAATGAGTCCTATATCGACATAACCTCAAAGGCCGCTCAGCAAGGAAGAAGCCACTGCTCCAAAACCGCCATAAAAAAGCCAGTCTACGGTTTGCTACTGCACATGTGGACAAAGATTCTACTTTTTAGAGAAATGTCCTCTGGTCTGATGAAACAAAAATAGAACTGTTTGACCATAATGACCATCGTTATGTTTGGAGGAAAAAGGGGGTTCTTGCAAGCCGAAGAACACCATCCCAACCGTGAAGCACGGGGGTGGCAGCATCATGCTGTGGGGGTGCTTTGCTGCAGGAGGGACTGGTGCACTTCACAAAATAGATGGCATCATGAGGAAAGAAAATTATGTGGATATATTGAAGCAACATCTCAAGACATCAGTCAGGAAGTTAAAGCTTGGTCACAAATGGGTCTTCCAAATGGACAATGACCCCAAGCATACTTCCAAAGTTGTGGCAAAATGGCTTAAGGACAACAAAGTCAAGGTATTGGAGTGGCCATCACAAAGCCCTGACCTCAATCCTATAGAAAATGTGTGGGCAGAACTGAAAAGGCATGTGCGAGCAAGGAGGCCTACAAACCTGACTCAGTTACACCAGCACTGTCAGGAGGAATGGGACAAAATTCACCCAACTTATTGTGGGAAGCTTGTGGAAGGCTACCCGAAATGTATGACCAAAGTTAAACAATTGAAAGGCAATGCTACCAACCACTAATTGAGTGTATGTAAACTTCTGACCCACTGGGAATGTGATGAAATAAATAAAAGCTGAAGTAAATCATTCTCTCTACTATTATTCTGACATTTCAAATTCTTAAAATAAAGTGGTGATCCTAACTGACCTAAGACAGGGAATTTTTACTAGGATTAAATGTCAGGAATTGTGAAAAACTGAGTTTAAATGTATTTGGCTAAGGTGTATGTAAACTTCCGACTTCAACTGTAGGTTATGTTGACAAGAAAGCAACCAATGAAAGGATAGAAATGGGTTATCATACTTGATACACTGTGTGGAGCATGAGTGTTTTTTGTCTCAGAACTCTGGATGTTTTAAGCTACAATGTTGTTTTTTTAAGAACAAATACCTGAACCCTGAGCCAACTTATATATAACTTAGCTCCTTCAAACTTTACAGTTACATTTTCTTTTTTAAATGTATTTTTGATTCAAATATTAATATTGTTAAATTCATGATCAACTTTTATTTGTGTTTTATCACTTGTCAAGAAGACCCTACTGACAACTGAAGCACTAGAATTGAATTATTTTGCAAATCAACTTTGTACAGTGTATAAACATGTATTAAAGTGATGATGAGATCATTAACTTAATTATTAAATATTTATATGGAGGCGTTGATCCATGTTTATAATAAAAGAAAATGCCCATGTTTATTTTTGTATTTTTTATTTTACTATTTGTACAGTTAAACGTAGGCAGCAAAGACATCTCAGAGGATAACACATTAAAATGTTAAATACACTTATTTCCAATCTGGTTGTCTGACAGTTGTATTCATTTATTTTTATATGTGGAGAACTTGTTAAAGACTGTGTATGCTAATCACTAAATCACCCTATTACCAGTGTATCTGTAACCAATGGAAATGCTAGCTAGTTAGCTGTGCGCTAGCAGAGGGACAGAAGCTATACTGTTATGTATCCAGCATGGAGCAGCAGGGTTGTGTCACAAATGGCACCCTAATCCCTATATAGTGCACTACTTGTGACCAGGGACCATAGGGCTCTGGTCAAAGGTAGTGCACTATACTGGGAAAAGGGTCCCATTTGGGACGCACATTAACTGTCATTAATCACTCAGCTATTTCCGCACGAAACTTGAGGTTCATGGTCAGGAGGTTCATGGCTAAGATCACCACCATTTGGGCACGGAGCTACATTCTCATTATTGTGCTATAACCTTTAACCTGGTAACCTTCAATTTGAATAACATTATAATCACTTTGCTACTTTGAGTTCATGTAGAACCAACTAGTTGTCCTAGCTCAGTGTATTTTGTTGAAATATCCTAGCAATGCTTTGATGGTAACATGATTTGGGCGTGATAATAATAGCGCAGAGAGAGGACCCTGGCGTCTTGTCACTGAGCTGCTTATAACACTTGAGAGAGATCTATAGTCTAGTGGACACAAACACACACACACACACACACTGGGGAACAGCTAGGGAACTTACATTGGAGCCACTTCTCTACGACTAAATGAGACAGTTGGATTTGAATTGGACTGAATTGAATCAAAGTGAATTGATCGAATTGAACTGAATTTGATTGATTAGACTGAAATAGACCCTCGCTGAGTAACCTGGATTGGAGGAAGGTATACAGACCGTTCCTCTATGGGATGAGCTGCTTGTTTACACCATGGAGAAGACACGCCTAATGGAAATGCTCTTTATTACTTTCAATCACAATGTCACTTTCCTGGGTAGGTGGACATAATGTAAATGGACCTGTAAATGGTATATGTATGGGATAGTTGATGTTACTCAGGCCTTTATGCAACATCTTTTTGAGTGCAGTCAGACCCATTACATTTTTGCTTATCTAGATTCACAGGTTTTCCGCACCAACTACATTTTAAGGGAGAGCGCGATGGTCTTCTTTTGATAGTTGTTACTAACAAATAGCTTTCTTTTCAATATTGGTGTCTAACATTAAAATGTATGTGAGTGAATCATTAATTGATTGGCTCTTTATGCAGGGAAGACGTGGTTGATCTTGATGGTGGTCCTGAGACTACTCATCCTCCTGTTCTCTGGCTATCCCCTCTTCCGGGACGAGCAGGAGCGCTTTGTGTGCAACACCATCCAGCCGGGCTGCACCAACGTCTGCTTTGACTGCTTTGCTCCCCTCTCCCTCTTCCGCTTCTGGCTGTTCCAACTGATCATGCTCTGTCTCCCTCACATGATGTTCATCTCTTATATAGTCCACAAAGTATCGTCAGCTCTTCGTATCGGAGGGAACTATTTCCCCGGCAGCAGAAGTCCGGTAGGGGCTCTGTGTAACCCTCAACATTCCCTACCAAAAGGGACGCCTAACTTTTTAAGTGCTTACCTCCTGGACCTGATACTGCGTATCTTACTGGAGGCAGCATTCAGTGCCGGCCAGTACTACCTCTATGGCTTCTCTGTCCCCAGGAGCTTCCAGTGCTATGAGTCCCCCTGTACGTCCATGGTGGAATGCTACGTATCCAGACCCACAGAGAAGACCATCATGCTCAACTTCATGCTGGGGGCTGCCTCCCTGTCTCTGCTACTGAGTCTGGCAGACTTGGTGTGCTCTGTGCAGCGCATGGTGACACAGGGGAGGAGAGAGGAGCAGGGGAAAGAGCTGAAGGAGGGCGGACTGTTCATGAATGGAGGGGTTGGGGAGGACATGGAAGTCCTGTACACCCAGAATACTCTCAAAACTGTCCTAAAGAGAGGACAAAGTCACATTGACAAACCAACCTCGAGCGGTATCCCAAACAGTGACCTTTCACACGGACGAGTGAGAATAAACAATGAGACCCAGGTAAGGGTGGCTGCCCCACCCCTGCAGGGGAGAAGGCCGCCGCGGAGGGATGCAAGGATGACACCTCCGCCGCCATTTCAGCCCATCCCTATGGGTGCTCCATCGAACGGTCGCTTTGTTCATCCCAACCAAATCTCCCATTCATCTCCTGTCCATCTCTCCAGGCGGTTAGAGAGAAACCCAGTGGTAGTCTCACGCCAGTCTACCCCCTCGCCAATGAACAGTGGCCAGAGGCAAGGCTGCTACAACGTGGTAGACACAACACTCCTGGAGCAGCATTATGATAGCGCAGAGTCCCGTGATAGGCTCCAGGAGGAAGTCATCCTGCAGGAAGTGGGGGTAAGGGGCACCTCAAGCTCCTCCAGTGATTCTTCTTCCTCATCAGATGCTCAATAAAGTTTGTATTTTAATTATTTAAATGTATGTAATTCTATGCAAGGCCGCAACACGACAATGGGACAGCTGTCTTTTTTAGCTAAACAACTTTGATGATTTACTCATTACTTGCACTTGAATAAATGTTTCCCCAAAATGTAATAATGGGCTACATTGCATTTTGCTGTTGTGACTTTATACTTACAGTGAACACATTCTGTCTGTAGAGCTGTTTGTGTTAGCTAACAGAATTAGAATGAGTGATTCAAACAATGCCAGTTAGTTGACCTTCAAGACCAATGGTGGCAGCACACTCAGCTGTTGTTCAGCTCACATGTTTTTTCATTGGGTTCACCAACAACAGTCAGACAAGACTGACATGCTCCGACCCAACTGAAGCCAAGGTCACTTGGAGAACTGAAGGTAACAAAGGAACATTACTCTTTCTTTCATTGGGCTCACCAACAACAGTTAAACAAGACTGACATGCTCCGACCCAACTGAAGCCAAGGTCACTTGGAGAACTGAAGGTAACAAAGGAACATTACTCTGCTGTGGCATCCAAGGAAACAATAGACCCAAAAGAGACCTCAGGATTGGTCAATAGCCTTAAAGGAGGCCAGTGATGGAAGGGTTGAGGTGAACGGAAGAGCACCTGACTCATAGACAAATACACAATGGCAGAGATTCAATCCAAGGTGCGTTGCAGAGAAGTGCATTTGTACTGTCAACAATGTTCTCGATGTTTACGGAGATCGAGTTCACAGTAAATACCATGAATGACTGCTCAAGCGTACTTTACCTTTAAAACGCTCTACAATGCGCTTTGGATTGAATCCTTGCCAAAGCCTTCATACAGTATAGCAGTAGTGTAGGATTTCAAACGGTCTTGATTTTTTTTTGCACCTTGTGTCGTTTTTTTATTTTTATAAATCAATTCAACTAGCATAAGGATTTATGTGTTCTGTTTTTTAAGTGATTGTACAGACTATATTAAACATTTTAGTACACATGGGGCTGACATAATTATTACCTTGTTTGAAATCAGGACAGTAACCAGGGTTTGAGTTTTAGTGAGGTCCAGAATTTAAAAAACGTTAAAATGCTATTTGGAGAACAGCAAAAACAAGTAAAAATGACCCCAGCCATTATCACTTTGGCTGATGTAGGTTTATTCACCTCAGTCGATCTACAAACACATAGCCTATTAGCAATACAATTATAATGTTATTCCCCTGAAAGGGGGAAATATGAGAAATGATTCACACTGACACCTAGCATCAGTGACAAAACGAAAATGTATTACATTTTTAGAACTGTATTGTTTGCATTTTAACGTAGGCCTATTGGGAATATATGCCATGTGGAGATGTTCATATTGAAACATCTGTTTTTTTTTTTTTTTTTTTTTAACTTTGATAAGATTAGTAAAAAAATTCTCAGGGGACCCCACATGGGGCCCTGAGCCCAAGTTTGGGAACGATTGTACTAACCACTCTCTCTGTCTCTGCTTCCGCCTGCATGCATTGCAGCCTGCGTCAGTCTCACCATTGAGCGCCACATCACTGCCTGTCTCACTAGCCTACTCTGTAAATCAAAGTTATTATGAACTCTTTTTTACTCCTGCTGAGGTAGGCTCCGTTTAATGTTAGCTTCTTACTTCATCCTTCTAGCTGGCTAAGTAATAGGCCTACTAGCCAGAGCCCTTCAACATTATTGCAATATAAGTATCTGCCAGCAGCTAGCCACCTGATTGTCTGACATGACCAAAAGTATGTGGACACCTGCTCGTTGAACATCTCATTCCAAAATCATGGACATTAATATGGAGTTGGTCCCCCCTTTTGCTGATATAACAGCCTCTACTCTTCTTGGAAGGATTTCCACTAGATGTTGGAACATTTCTGCGGGGACTTGCTTCCATTCAGCCACAAGCGCATTAGTGAGGTCGGGCACTGATGTTGGGGGAATAGGCCTTGCTCACAGTCGGTGTTCCAATTCATCCCAAAGGTGCTCAATGGGGTTGAAGTCAGGGCTCTGTGCAGGCCAGTCAAGTTCTTTCACACCGATCTCGACAAACCATTTCCGTATGGACCTCGCTTTGTGCACAGGGACATTGTCATGCTGAAACAGGAAAGGGCCTTCCCCAAACTTTTGCCACAATGTTGGAAGCACATAATCATCTAGAATGTTGCATTAAGATGTCCCTTCACTGGAACTAAGGGGCCTATCCCGAACCATGAAAAACAGCCCCAGACCAATATTCCTCCTCCACCAAACTTTACAGTTAGCACTATGCATTGGGGCAGGTAGCGTTCTCCTGGCATTCGTCCGTCGGACTGCCAGATGGTTAAGCGTGATTCATCACTCCAGAAGTATGCTTTTCCACTGCTCGAGAGTCCAATGGCGGCGAGCTTTACACCACTCCAGCCGGTGCTTGGCATTGCGCATGGTGATCTTAGGCTTGTGTGCGGCTGCTCGGCCATGGAAACACATTTCATTAAGCTCCCGATTAACAGTTCTTGTGCTGACGTTGCTTCCAGAGGCAGTTTGGAACTGGGTAGTGAGTGTTGCAACTGAGGACAGACAATTTTTACACGCTACGCGCTTCAGCACTCGACAGTCCCGTTCTGTGATCTTGTGTGGCCTACCACTTTTGTGTGGCCTACCACTTCGTGGCTGAGCCGTTGTTGCTCCTAGAAGTTTCCACTTCACAATAACAACACTTACAGTTGATGGGGGCAGCTCTAGCATGGTAGAAATTAGAATTTGACATACTGACTTGTTGGGAAGGTGGCATCCTATGAAGGTACCACTTTGAAAGTCACTGAGCTCTTAGTAAGGCCATGGCTGTGTGCTCGATTTTATACACCTGTCAGCAACTGGTGTGGCTGAAATAGCCAAATTCACTAATTTGAAGGGGTGGCCACATACTTTTGTATATATGGTGTATCTATAAGCGACTACTTAATAGTTGTGCACTCATTCTCCAAGAGTCGGTTTTTGTTTGTTTGTTTGGGGGATGTCTGTAGACATTGGAGTAGTCGTAGGATATTTTTTTAATAGCTTTTGTCCGGCATCTCGCAAATACACTGTCAGCAGTAGTTACCCATTGAGCTGACTGCGATCCGGGGTAGTTCGTTTCACATCTCAGGCCCTCGGCCTGTGCCGCGAAAGGGCAGAGTTACTGCGTTAGCCTTTTGAGAGAGTGGCGAATTTATTGCAAAAAGAAAAAAGGCAAATCCGGGTGACGCAGGCCAACATAACGAACAAATCACTGTTCGTGATTCCACTCGATCACAAAGAGGCAGGCGCCATTAGAATTCAGTCAGATCAGTAATATAAGCGTTCTGAGCTTTGATCAACGCTGGGAGCAATATTTAGATATTGACCCGTAATTTATTTTCTTTATTGTGTACAGAATATATATATATACATTTTTCCCTTCTCCAAATTACAAAAAATTACCGCCGAGACCTCGGTGTCCTCATATGTAATAGTTACGGCCATGTTTGAAATCCATTGAAACAACGGAGGGTCGAATCATGTCTGAATAATTAAGTGTAAACTGACCTCCTCTGGTAGATTTATGAAAGTGCAGAGGAAAAGAAGAACCACTTTGCCAGAGATGAGAGAGGCTAAATCTATGGACATGCCTATACGTGTACATGTACATACTTTTCCTTAGTTGAATTGTAAATTATAACATTATTCTTACAATACGTTAAATCATTCCATTTTTCTCTGAATTCGTAACAAATCAGCTCCTACCAGTCATTGGCTCCTATTCCCCTTATTGATCCATCCCAAATGTAACCCTATTCCATATAGGGCGGCAGGTAGCTTAGTGGTTAAGAGCGTTGTGCCAGTAACCGAAAGGTCTAATCCCCTAGGTGAAAAATCTGTCGATGTGCCCTTGAGCAAGGCACTTAACCCTAATTGCTCCTGTAAGTTGCTCTGGATAAGAGCGTCTGCTAAATGACAAAAAAAAAAAAAAAAAAAAAAGATTATATATATATAGTTCCTATGGTCAAAAGTAGTGCACTATAAATGGAACAGGGTGATATTTTGGAAGAATTGTTAATGTAAAAATGCTACAACCATCCCTGGCCTGACATGCTGTACCTAGAGCACTCAGATCTCATGGGTGAATGAAAGTGGTGATAGACGTTGACATAATAGAACATCAAAAATATTGACTGCCAATGCTGAACTTACTTTTCACCTTTAGACAGATCAGTAGGAATACATGCTTGTTGTCATTGGTGACAGAAAAATCCATTCTCATTCCTTTGATGTTGATGTCAGACTAAAAGTACAATAAATAAATATCACTACATACAATGAACCATTCCCAGCAAGCCTACTGAGTATTCATTAGTGCACACCATATCAAAACATAGCAAACCATTTTCCAACAGAAAACGAAAACAAGCGTTTCTTATAGGACAAAGTCAGGTAGTCCCTCCCTGTTTCAGTCTGTTTTCTTCAGTTTGGTGCCTAGTGAGAGTTTGGTGCCTAGTGAGACTGTGTATTGAAGAATTGTACATTGAACTAGTAACACTTTATCAGAGTAGAGGCAGCACAGATTAGATATGCAAATTACTGATTTTTTTTCACCTGTATATGTCAATGCAAATGTCATGTATCCACTGACTGACTCACGGACTCAAACATACACACTCACACAAACATGGACTGACAGACATAGCCAGAACCTTTCACCTTTACAACCCTCACCTCTAGACACATTTTGAGTGGTGAATGAATGATGTAGGGAGGTGAGGGCTCTGGGAGTGTGGTGCCAGGAAAATAACATCTCACTCAACATCAACAAAACAAAGGAGATGATCGTGGACTTCAGGAAACAGCAGAGGGTGCACCACCCTATTCACATCGACGGGACCGCAGTGGAGAAGGTGGAAAGCTTCAAGTTCCTTGGCGTACACATCACTGACAAACTGAAATGGTCCACCCACGCAGACAGTGTGGTGAAGAAGGCGCAACAGAGCCTCTTCAAC